TCGAATCTATATGGTGTTCGCTGAGCTTCCTGAATATATATTCTCTCATTCTTCATTATGTCTGGGAAGTTTTCCTCTAGTAATTCTTCCACAACTTTTCTTGACACATAAATTGTGGGAGTTGTTATCACAGCAGAATACTCTGTGTTCCCCAAAAGAATTTTCTTTCCCTGAATCCCAATATTTTTAAAAAGAAATTCCGTGATGGGGTTCTAAAAGTTGCGATAAACAATTGAACCAAATTAGCTTATTTGTTTGTTTAAGATGAAAAAAAAAACACGGTAGCGACTTTTCTGCTAAGTACATGAGATCTGTTTAGAGAATTTATGTAGTGATGTGATAATACTTTTCAAAATAAAAAGTCTCCGTCTATTTTTATTAAGACAGAGGGTTTAAAAGACAATTAAGACTCTTCTCTCTTTCTCTTAGTGGATTAAGAATTGAGTGTTACATAGGCTGGAGTGGACAGAGTGTCGACCTGGGAGGTAAAGCATTTCTCTCTGACTTCACCACACTGTATATAACATTCTTTACAGGGTTGTGGTGAGGTTTAGAGGTTTATGAATACCTAATGGCCAGCATATATGTGTAAATCACTTATACTTAAACCTGGGTTGATTTTCCGCCGTGCTTACTGTACTGAGGTATCTATTCTGATTGCTTAATTCCCATGTAGTGTCTACTACTACATATATTTTAATATATTTTTTTTTTCTTGCGAACTACACTACATACCACAAAGTTTGGAAAGATCAGTATGCTTTGGGAGAGTATAATGAGGTGTCTAGTTTATAAAAATGTTTAAGAAATTCTCTTTGAATGAGAGGCATTTAAATCATGACTTGAACAATATTTGTTCTATCCGTGCTTAGAGATGAACCTAGAGAACTAGGCAGAGGTCAGATTATACAAGGCTGTGTAGTTTCTGCAGGGTACTCTGAGTGTGATCTTCATATCAATAAGATACTGCAGAATAAAGTGAGAATGAGAGTCATTTGGTGAAATTTGTATTTTTAAGGGTAACAGTTCATGAAGGATAGAAGAGTATCAAAATGTCCATACCTTTTCATCCATAAGATTGCCCTGGAATATTAACTCTTCAGACATGGACGTCTAACATAAATTAGAAAGTGATATATCCAACAGGTCATGGTAGAGAGACAGTATAATTCTGTAGGTGAGATAAACTAAAGACAATGCTCAATTCCTTTTAATATGAAAACATTGCTTTGATTCTTTCCTGTTCTCTGTCTGAGAAATTCTTTACTCTCACTTAGAATTTGACATGCCCATCTTGAAATACTCTCATATAGAAAGTAAATAAATTCCATAATCACTAATGTGGTATCTATTTTGTGCTAAGTTCGTAAGCCTCTCTTGCCACCCATTTCACCGTATTTCTGTCACAGAGCTATTGCAGGAAGTCAGGAAGTCTGTGCTCAAGTCTTTGTTTTATCTCTTATTAACAATGTGACCTTTGGAGATTAACACAAGCTAGAACATAGAGAGGAGATTGTGTGGCATGGGTTAAGTATATAGGAGTTAGTTAAAGACATAAATCTGATGTCCTTGGAGGAAGCTGTGCTCCATTAATTACCATTTCTTTTTTCTAGAGAACTGGGATAGTGTGGGGGGCTATGGATCATTACCCTGTCAACATGATAAAAACTTAATGCTTCACTAATGAATTACAGGTCAAGAATAATCATCTCTGATCCCTGTGGTCATAAAGCCCTCCCTTTTCCTGTGGTCATGGGACTAGACAGAGAGATAGAAGTATAGTGGCATTAATTATACCTTGGATTCCCCTTTCTCAGAGGCCAACAAACATTACTCTATTTTGGTGGTATGAGAGAGATTTCAGTAATCTTTAACTTGAGGAGTTTATTTTAACAACCTTTTGTTCTCTATAATTGTTCCTACAGGATAGACCATTGGAACAATGAGAAAGAGAGGATTGTGCTGGTCACAGATAAGACTCTCCTGATCTGCAAATATGACTTCATCATGCTTAGCTGTGTGCAGCTCCAGCGGATCCCATTGCATGCTGTGTGTCGCATTTGCCTGGGCAAATTTACCTTCCCTGGGATGTCACTGGACAAGTAAGTCTGGTGTCTTAGATGTAGAAAAACTGTTTAATGGGGGTGGGATGTATCAAAAAACAGTGCTGAAGTTGAGCAGTATCCTGTGATCTGGGAGAACAAGAGAACAGTGAAATCCTAAGGTTGAATTGATTAGTCACTTAATTCCTACTCTATGTTAAACCCCAGGTTCAAAACTGTCAGTACTTTCGTGCATTAATAAGATAAGCTGTCAAGTAAATAGTTTATGTAAGGTATAAAGAGGTATGGGATCACGGAGAAAGCTTCTCAGAATAATTGTTATATCAGAGCGTTTTGAGAGCAGAAAACAGGACATGGTAGCACAGGATGGTGAGCTTTTCTATGAAGGAGTCAGAAGGAGTAGGAGTAACACAACCTCTTACCATGTCAAGGCAGAAAGCAGATAAAAAGCCTGCAGCCCAGCACCATGGTACCTTAAAGAGTATCATAAAAACAAGTCCAGGTTTTAGCCCAAGTTCCAAGGCATAATTCCTCAATTAGTCTTGGCTCGGGTTTCAGTTCAGCAGTCAAACAAGTTCCAAACAAACAAGCATCCAGCAAGTTATAAGTCAATTTCTCCTCCAAGCATCAGGCAAGAATAACTAATACCTATGGCCATTTTCTCAGGGATTCTATGCTTATAATTTGCCAATTTCTTCACAACAATGACACAGTCAATCCAACACCACTACCAGCATCTCAACAGCAGGGTCTGCTCCAGTCTCCCTCAAGTCTTGTTGCCACAAGTCTTGCTCACTTCAAGTCTTGCTGCCTAGTGTGAGAAGCACCCTTTCTCTTATCCTACTCACACAGTTGTTGATACTTTGCAAGACTGTGATGTTTAGCAAGACTGTGATGTCTGCAGTTAAGGTAGCTGGATACAAGAGAGTGCTAACTGTAAAGGCTAAAATAAGCAAACTTTTAGGTTAGCACCACACAGAGAATCTTGAAAGCCTTTCAGGAAGAGAAGCATCTGACACAATGTTTGAGATTATATAAGAGTTAGTTAAGAAGGCTTGGTGGTGTAATGACTACGTGCTATCTGGTAAAAACTGATTTGAAAGTCACCCATCTTCTTTAAGATGAAGAAATCTGGAGATCTGCTCTTGTAAAGATTATAACCTAGGAATTGCAATGGAGCAATTATACGTTGTCCTAAAAAGCTGTTACAAGGCGGAATAGATTTGATGGCATATACCAACATCAAAAACAAAAATGATGAAAATGTTTTATTGTGTACATGTGTGTTGCTTTTTCCTTTATCTTCTCGTTGTCCATTTTGTGCTTTATGGCCTTGTGGTCTGAGAGAGGACTTGAAAAGATAGGGTAATAATAGAACAGATCAATAGTAATTAATTATATAAAATATAATGTATATTAAAGTGTATAAAACACAATGTACATTAATGAAACACACAAAGCATATGCATGATTATATAAAACACTAAATACATGTACAAAATATAATGTATGATTGTAAGCAAGCCAATAAGAATTTTAAAATTTAGATAATAAAAACCAGCGATAAGTTTGCCAAAGAAAGAGAACCCAAGGGGAAAAATACTCTAGGCATATAGGCAGGAATATGAACTCATAGTGACAGAACCGGAACAATGGCAATATGAAAAAGTGTAATACTTTCAGAAATTAATATTGATAAAAGTCAATTGAGAGATCCAAAGATGATTTTTTAAAAAGCCAATTGCTTTCTTGAATTCACAGAGTACTGTATATAATATGGATGAATCTACAGGGTTTTCAATGACAAATCTTTCAGAAGTAAATCATTAGGCCTTTCTAAAAAGGTTTCACTCTGGGTGAACTCAAACCTCCCACCTTTCTCTTTGAAGCTTATTAGGTTATCTATACCATCCAAGGACTGATGGCTTGTTAGTTTTTCCAAAATCTCCCTAAGATCTGCCTTAAAAACGGAATTAGTGGACATCAGCTATAATAGAGATTTTCAAAGATACCTGCCTGTATCTGGTCTGTAGTGGAAGGTTGATGTATTAAGTATTTGTTAAATTATTGGAAGTTACTGCCCTTTGTGGGGATGAAGGAAGAAGTTCAATCTGCACTGACAGAATTGGTAAAAAACAAGGCCCCAGGAGTTGACAGCATACCTATTGAAATAATTCAACAAGCAGATACTGCCCTGGATGTGCTCACATGTTGTGCCAAGAAATCTGGAAGGCAACCATCTGTCCAACTGACTAGAAGAGATCTGTATTTGAGTGTGAAAATTATTAAACAATATCATTAATATCATATGCAAGCAAGAGTCTGCTAAAACATTATCCAAAAATGACTGAAACAGCACATCGACAGAGAATTTCCAGAAGTGCAGGCAGGGTTTAGAAGAGGGAGTTATAATAGGGATATTATAAATAATGTTAGACAGATCTTGGCTGAAAGTAGAGAATACCAGAGGAATGTTTGTGTTTTGTTGACTGTGCAGAGCCAATTGACTATGTGGATCACAATAAACTGTTGTTAACTCTGAGAAGAATGGGAATCCCAGAGCACTTGAGAGTGCTTATGTGAAATCTATACTTGAACCAAGAGGCAATCATCAGAACAAAGCAAGGAAAGACAGCATGGTTCAAAATCTGGAAGGGTGTGTGCCAGGGATATGTCCTATCTCCATACCTTTTCGATAAGTATGCAGAACAGATTATCTGGGTTGCTGGGTTATATAAGGGGAAAAGTGACATCAGAATTAGAGGAAGATTCAGCAACAAATTGTTTTATGCAGATGATAAAACCTTGCTTGCTGAAACTTAGGAGGATCTGAAGCTCTTGCTGCAGAAGGTCAAGGACTGCAGCTTTTAATATAGTTTGAAACTCAACATCAAGAAAACAAAGATTCTCACCACTGGGCCAATTGGTAGCATCAAGACAGACAATGAAGAGATTAAGATTGTTAGTTAACAGCTTCAGTTTGCTTAGTTCCACGGTCAACACTTTTGGTACTAGGAGCAGGAATTTAAAAGACAAATTGCATTGAGAAAACTGGCTATCAAAGAACTCTGCAGAGTACAGAAGAGAAACAATGTCAGTCTGGAGACTAAGGTGCACCTGATGCAGTCCATGGTCTTTGCAATTACTTGCTATGTATCAGAAAGCTAGACAATGACTAGAGAAGATAGAAAGAGAATTGATGCCTTTGAGTTGTGGTGCTGCAGAAGAGTATTGAATAAACCATGGACTGCTAGGACAATTAGGTTCATCCTAGAGAGTGTGAGAACAGGCTGCTCCTTGGAGGCAAGGATCTGAAACTTCATCTGATATCCTTTGGACATGTTGCAAGGAGAGAACAGTCCTTATAGAGGGATGTGATGCTTGGGAAACTGGAGGGACAGCACAGGGCAGAGAAGAGGAAGACCCATGATGAGATGGATTGGTTCAGTAACTGCGGTATATATATAACACAGCATAGAGCAGGGTTTAGGGCTATTGTCCACAGGGTCACTATGAGTCGCAAGCCACTCAATGGCATGTAACAACAGCTGCCTTTTTAAAATATTGAAGTCTTCCTCTGCAACTCTAGCTTTTTACCACTCTGATTGAAGTCTTTTAAGGTGGATACCATATTTGTCACAGGGACTCCCATAATGAGCTTGAGCAGATAGAGTGTGAGGATGGTGAGGAATAAGGCAAGGTTCAGATCACAGAGTGTCTATGAGTCAAAAGTTCCTTGGAATGCTATGAGCCAAAGTTGACACTATAGCACCTAATCTCACCATCATATTTTTTTTGTTCTTAAAGTACTTGGCAAAGGGCCTGATACATAGTAATAAATGAACAGCCTTTTAAAACACAGGAAAACACATCTTGATCAAGGGTTTGATTTTTCTTACCCAAAGCATCAAAATCTGTTTTTCATGCATTCTTTTCATGAATGTGAGAAGCTCTTACCTGACATTCTGATTCCAAAAGGCCATGGCTTTGAAAATCTTATGAAGTGTTTCTACTTTGCACTTATGTGATGTCTATGAGTTAGAATCTGTTTAATATCAACTAGCAAAAACAATAGATCACTCTCATTCTTTTTTTTTTTAAATTGGGCAGCCCATAACAGCTAACTGTATGCTATATTGGGTTACTAACCAAAAGATTAAGCATTCAAATCTATTAGCTGCTTCATGGGAGAAAGATAGGTAGGCGATCTCTGCTGGTAAAAACTTATAAACATAGAAACCCAATATTGGGTCATCATGAACGAAAGTTGATTTGGTAATGGATTATTCTACTATAAGTTGTAATCTATTTACCTGTATATTTAATGCTTGATAGATACTTGTTTTTAATCTAGATTTTTTACTACCACAAATGAATCTATAGTGCAAACTTCTGGGAGTAGAATTATTAGGTCAAATGTTATGTGCACTTTATAGGAGTTGATATTATTGATTGCTTTTTAAACACTTAAAACTTCTAAGGAGGAGAGCAGTGGGGAAGCATAAATGTAGATTCTCATACTAACAAATGTTTACTCCAATTTATGCTTCCATCAGACACGGGGAAAATGTTTTCTTATATATTCTAACTAATATTGTAGATTATTAATTTTATTTATTACTTTGGTAGCAATGAAGGTAAAGAAATGTATCCACTTTTTTGTTTTAGCTTATTATAATCTGAAAGACTTTTTTTTTTACTTTAAAAAAAACCTTTTTCTTTTTCTACATATTGCCTTTTCTATGTATTGAAGACCCTTGAGGCTTGGCCTAGGGTTTAAGGCAGGTGGTGGCTTAAATCCCAGAAGGGAGAGGGGAGGAGAAGGTGGCCAGGTTGTTCCTGGATGACTCCACATAGGGTCTCTGTGGCTTCTTTCTGCCTGTGCATGGTGGTCCACATATGCAAGTAACACAAGCTTTTGGGGTCATGTGCTTGGCCCTCAGGCCTGGTTCAAATTGTTTTTTTTTGTCAAACATTCTCCTAGGTGGTATAGCACTGTGCATTGCTGTACAGAGGTAACTCGTGGTGGCTGTGATGCT